AGCAGCGGCAGTAGCAGCTGGCACCTCCCGGCGCTGCCGCTGTCCGGAGGGTCACGGGGCAACGCGGCACCTTCCAGCCGCCCTCCGGCCAGCCTATCCGAAGCTGCGGAGGCTGCCGATGGGTGAGAACGGGGCAGCAAGATTTCAGGCTCTCCTGCCCTGACTGCTTTCATTCTGCTGCTGCCGCTGGGGTGCTTTGGTAGTGCCTGAGAACTCTGAGAAGAGACGCGGGAGGAGAGCAAGGATGCTGCTTCAAACTTGCGCTGTGGAGGCTTGAGCCTCCGCTTCACAGCGGGGGCTCAATTCAAGCCTAGAAGTTTAGCGAGCGGTGCAATCCAAAGACTTCCTGCTCCGGAGGGTCGCAGGAGGGTGCAGGAGAAAGCAGTCTCCGCCATCGCCACCCCTTCCTCCCCTTCCTTCAAGGGGCGTGAGGCTCGGAGGAGCCCAAAGGTGTGCAGCAGCCGTCCAGGACAGCAGACAACAGCTCGGAGCCACTGTATCCAGCTGGAAAGTTGAGTTTTGGAGGCCAGTCGAGAGCGGACAGACCACAGATCAGGCCATGGGAGGCAGGAGAGGACAGTACCCAATTGCCACCTACCTTCAACCATAGTAGTTTCTCTCCTTCCAGAGGGCAGCGAGCTACAGACACGGGGCGCGGGGACGCGTCACAAAAGAGGCACAGGGTCTCGGCTGCTAAGCCCAGTGCACTTCAGGGTTTCTTGACACGTCCCTGAGCTTTCAGCCCCGTTTTATTGAGACTCCTGCTGGCCTCCGTGCAGTGGGAGGAAAGCGAGAGAACCGAGTGCACGCATAATTCCATAGAAATCAGGTGGAAGGAGCCTTCAGGACCAAGGACTGTTTGGAGCCTCTTCTCAGTTGGGAAGAGAAGGGCGAGGCTGGATTCTGGAGAGTCGGGAGCCTAATATAAATAACCTTTCTGGCGGGATGGGAGCCATAGGACTCTTATGGCTGCTGCTGCCTCTGCTTTCAGCGGCAGCCTCTGGCCCTGGGACGGAGACCGGGACCAACCAGAGCGTGGGCTCACTGGCCATGGGGTCTGCGCTGCAGCCGCGGGAGCCGCTTAGCTACTCGCGCCTGCAGAGGAAGAGCCTAGCGGTGGACTTCGTGGTGCCCTCGCTCTTCCGCGTCTATGCCCGGGAGCTGCTGCTGCCGCCGCCATCCTCCCCCTCGCAGCCAAAGGCTAGCCGGCTGGAGGCGCGCAGCTCGCTGGCTCTAGATTGCGCCCCATTGCTTAGGCTAGTGGGGCCACCCCCCGGAGTTAGAACCGCGGGAGCCAGCTCGCCAGCCCCGGCACGGACGCTGTCCAGGGTGCTGAAGGGCGGCTCGGTTCGCAAGCTACGGCGGGCCAAGCAGCTGGTGCTAGAGTTGGGAGAGGAGGCGATTCTTGAGGGCTGTGTCGGGCCCCCAGAGGAGGCGACTGCAGAGCTGCTCCAGTTCAACCTCAGTGAGCTGTTCAGCTGGTGGATTCGCCATGGCGAAGGGCGGCTGAGGATCCGCCTGATGCCTGAGAAGAAGGCGTCGGAAGTGGGCAGAGAGGGAAAGCTGTCAGCAGCGATCCGCGCCTCTCAGCCCCGCCTTCTCTTTCAGATCTTCAGGATGGGTGAGCAGCTCCCGCCTGAGTTTGTCGGGATTTGTTTTTTTTTTTAGACACATCAGTTTGGAACTACTGTCAATTAACTCCCTTTTCCAAAACCTCTGACCTTGGTTCTTAACCCCCTTTACCCCTTCTGCAAACCTCTCCCCCTTGCTAGACCATATTTTTCCCCCCACTCTCCCCATGAAGGCAGTCTTTCCCTAAGGGTCTTCGTTCCTCTTCAGCAACCAAATTGGGGAAAAAGTTTTCTGCTCTTGGCAGAATGCCTCCTTCTGACTTACACAGGATCCCAACTAAAATTGGATGCCCTTCTTTGGGGGTCCCTGGGACAGTTGAAATGAACCTATTGCTTGCATGTTTCAAGTTTAGTTCTAGATCTCAAAACTATTGCCCATCTTCCCTTCCTCTTGTTCCTCTTCTTGGCTACCACCGGTTTGGGTAATGTAGTATACTTTCTCAGGGAATGTAGAATTCCTCATCATATTATTGAATTCCACCCAGCTGTTTCCTTCAAATGTTGGGTTACCTAGGTATTGCCTCTTCTTCATGAATTCATTCTACTCCATCCTCCCCAACCCCAGTCTGCTACCTACTCTGAAACTCATGTTCTTCCTCTCAGATGTCAGTGGGAGAATCCTAGAGGAACTAAGGGACAGGGGACAGAAGGAAGATGCGAAGAGAGGGACTGAAGTTGCCAAGATTGTCTTCCTTTGGGGAGTCACTGTGAAGTCAGGGAGAGATAATAGTTGATTTCCCTCTCTTCCCCTGCCCCCTTTCTTCCCTCCAATTCTTAGCTTGAATGTCTGCAGCAGCGGCTCTGAATGGCGGTCTCTGGCAGGCCTGTTTCACTGCAGATCTCTCTGCTGGGGACTCCTGAAATGAGGTTTCTGTTCCATTTACTCTCTCATTTTCTGCCCACATTCACTGAGTTGGTTGTGTGTGTATATATGTGTGTGTGTGTGTGTGTGTGTGTGTGTGTGTAGGCAATTACTTCTATCTCTTCCCATAGTATCCTTAACTGGAAAATCAGGTGGTTTTGAATGGATATTTCTCTTATAAGACCACTGGGGAAAGACTCATAAATAAAATAGACAATGGAAATGAATAAGAAAGCACAGAAAAGAAACCATGCCTTTTAAAAGCCTACACTAATTCCTTTGAGCAAACCCAGCATCTTTTATCTCATCCTCATCGTCAGAAAGAAATGAAATTCGTATGCTCCACTGGTTACTAATGTCTAGTATTAATTGGGTGGAAAGCATTGAAAAAAGCTCATTGTAGAGCTACAAGTATCTCTATGCTTGCCCCAAACACACATACTCCCACATACATGCAATCATCCTCTATCAGCAGGGATATTCAAAAGCTGAGGTTCCTCAGTCATTGCACAGTAAACATACTGATACATGGTCCTCAAGCAAAACAGAGTTTGGATGCATATTTCAGCATTAACATTCATGGCATTGGCATCTAAAATGACCCCTTTCTACTCAATGCTGGAATATATATTAATCCATAGTAAGAGATCGGGTCTGATGAGTTAGGAGACCAATACTGTGGTCTCACCACAGAAACTTTTGTAAAGAACAGCTGTGCTTGAATGTCATTGTGGCTTCTGTGGGTTACACATGCAACATTCTCTTTTAGTGCCTAATGTTTTTGTAATGGATATAAAAATGACTTCTCTGGGAATGTGGATTTCCCCCCCACTTTCCTGCTTTCATGTCTATGAGGATCTCTAAAGCTTTCCCATCACCTCTTGTTAAGTGACCACAGGCCCTAGCAGTCTAGATCACCTGTTGTTAGATGTTGGTGACAGGTAAAAGGGGTCTTTCTGTGGTCCTGATCTTGCCTAATACAAACAGACAGATTGCATGAAGTTATTAGTGGGTGTCTCTGAAGTGTCACATGTGTAATGCATTTGAAGAATATACTCTAGTCGAGCCTTAGATAAGAGATGAAGCTGCTGAGTGGGGGAGTTTCATGTAGAGAGGAGTGTGCTTTAAGAGCTGCTCTGGTACTGACAGTAGGGAAGCATTGTGAGCACCCCAAGTCCTCCCTCAGCAGCACAGTCCATTTGGCAACCGGACCAAGCCCTTATGCATCATTTGACACATCTAGCAATCCTGTTTGAGAAAGAGCCAGGATTCTGCCATTAAAAAGCTAGAAATTTTCGCCAAGCATTTTTCAGCAGGATTTGGATCAAATGATAATTGATGGGAACAAATAAGACACTAAGTGTAACTGGATGAGCTCCCCATGACCTCCGGAGAGACAGCCAGCTTATTGAAAAGCACTATGGGCCTTGTGGTGATCACACTTGGAAAAGGCTGGACTCTCCTGCTCTGAGACGTATACTGTCTTCAGTTAGGCATCTGGCCATGCAGGACTAGCCTCTTGTTTTACGACAGCCTCATTCAGATATAGTCTCCATTGTAAGACCTTCCCAGCAGCAGTGGATCAGTCATGGATCTAGACTGCTAGAACCTATGGTCATTTAACAAGAGGTGATGGGAAATCTCTAGAGATGCTCATAGACTTGAAAGTGGAAAAGTCCACATTCATAGAGAAGTCATTTTTATATCCATTAAAAAAACATTAGGCACTAAAAGAGAATGTTGCATGTATAAACCACAGAAGCCATGATGACATTAAAGCACAGGGAATGGACACACCCTGCATATCATGTTTTGTGTTTGGGGCAACTTATATCATTATGATTTCATTCATTTTCTTGTTTGAAAATTTAAGCTTAGGTTCTCACACTTGGATTGATTTTACTATTTATCATGTTTGAGGCAATGGATTTAATCTTTTTATATATGCTGTGATTTATAGAAAAGACATTTACCTCTTCTGTGACATAGGCTCTTCAAGTATACAAAGGGAAAATAGGCACAATTCAGTTTACTTCTTCCTGATTCTTTCCAAGTGGCTGGTGGTCTGGTCTTGAGGGACACAACCATGCTGATGAGGTTATCTGTTGGAAGGGAAGAGGAGAAGATGGGTATTCTGTTACCGTTGTGGTGAGGGGCCTAGAGTAGTTCATTTGTCTGACTGAAGATAGCTTCCTGAATCTGAATAGGACCATAACTAGGGATGGGGTAAATATGGAAAAGTACCCCGTCAAGACAAAGCAATAACTTTGAATTACTCGTGGTTTGGGTTGGCTGAGAGGACAAAAGGATGCCTGAGAGGACTTATAATACATGACATGCTAATTTTTTTCTATGTGGGTTGCTTTGAACTCACAAATGGGGTCAGTATTTCAAAGTCTGAGGCAGCTCCCCATAGCACCAATTCCTGGAGCAGAGGTATAGAGGCTATTGCTGGGACTGTACCAATGGTAGTGCACCATGAGCCCAAACCTCAGAAAAGATGTCTACCTGGAGGCCACCATATGGCTTACAGCCGCATTTTGTAGCCTATTTTATAGATGTTTTAACATTTTGCTTCTGCCATTCCTAGGCAGAGGCCTAGAGCAGTGGTTCTCAACCTTCTGGCCCTTAAAATACAGTTCCTCATGTTGTCACCCAACCATAAAATTATTTTCATTGTTACTTCATAACTGTAATGTTGCTACTGTTATGAATTGTAATGTAAATATCTGATATTCAGGATGGCCTTAGGCGACCCCTGTGAAAGGGTCGTTCGACTGCCAAAGGGGTTGTGACCTACAGGTTGAGATCCGCTGGCCAGGAGGACCTATTTCCCTGTAACCACTCTACTTTTTCCCACTCCAGGAAAGGGGCTATGTGATTAGGGATTTCACATGTACTGTGAAAAGGCCTGAGCAATTTAAAATAGACGTATGTAATTTAATACACCTGACTCTTAACCTCACATATATGTCAGTCCCTTCCCATTTCATTTCTGGAGAGGACAAAGAGAGCTAAGGAAGATAGAAATGAAATTGGAGCTCCCAGAAGGAATATCAGTTATTGGAGGTGAATTGGGAGAGTTGGAACTAGTCCAGAGAAGAGCAGAGAGCTGATTTAAGAGTTGAAGGGACTGATTTATGATGATAAATGAAAATAATTAAATATATATGGCTGGGCTAAGTAGCAATGAAGAGAAAACTATGATAACAATCTACAGATATCTGAAGAGGGAGAGTGGCAGTGAAGGAGTGGAGTTATATAGAGTGGCCCAAAGAAGTAATAGGATGATACTTGTAAAGGAAACTTCAGGTTGGGTATCAGGGAAACCTTATTTTCTGCAATTGATACTCCCCTACTATGGAATGGAATTCCAAGGGAGCAAAGAGTAAGGTGAGATGTGGGTCAGACAAGCCACAGAGTTCATAATTAATCAGTTCTATATTTTCAAATGTTGAGAAGCCACAATGGGCAGGAGATCTGGGGTGGGGAACAGTGACAGGAATCAGGATATTTTGAGATACACCTACTTTTTTGGTTTTATTAACTTATTTTTAATTTTTCAATTATAGTTGACATACAATATTATATGCATTTCAGATGTACAGCATAGTGATTAGACATCTATATAACTTACAAAGTGATTGCCATGATGAGATATAACTCTTGAGAGCCTTTGAATATTGGTGTTTCTAGGAGAAAAAGAAAATAATTGCATATGCATTTTTGAAGTTGGTGGGAAGTGTTTACAAGAAGATTGTTAATGAAAAATATTTTGAAATTACTGAGTTTATTCTTCTCTGCCTCCAGATTAAACACAGAGTATTTCTGTGGGGTGTTGTCTGTATATCCAGTGTGAGGAGGCATATTCACCACAGCATTAAGATGCATCTATAGGTGTGTGCATCATCAAGTCATTGGACAGAGAAGATGAGATCAGTTCTAGATTTGGTGGACTCTTATTGGCTACCTGAAAACCCTTTCCAATGCTGTGAGTAAATATGGCTATTTGGAAAGTGAAGGTCAGGAGGGACTAGCCTGCAGGGAGAAGAGAGGGAGAGTTGGGTCAGCAGAAGTTTCAGTCCCTTGCCACTCTTCTGATTACAGATTACTGCTTGATAAACTCAC